TTAAAACAAAATTAAAAAAACATGGATATGAAGAAATGAAATTATAAATTTAAACTTGTGGAATCATCACTGATCAAAAGAATGTTAATATTTCAATGTTTAAGATAGCGTTTCAAAAAAAAACAAATTTTTTATTTTATCTTTCTTTTAGAAAATGTGTTAAACAAAAAAATAAAAACTTAGACTGATATTCGTAAGTGATTATAAGACGAAAAGGAAATTTTCCATGCTATTATCTCTAAATGAAAACTTAGTCCCCTTCTCATAAATATTTAGAAGGACATAATGCAGTGATTATTTTTAATTGTCTCATTACCTTTGGTGTTATTCTCACTTACGAATATCAGTCTAAGTTTTTATTTTTTTGTTTAACACATTTTCTAAAAGAAAGGTAAAATAANACCTTTCATATTATTCTCACTATCACGATATACATTAATTAATAAACATAACTGTCATATTTGGAATCAAAATGATTCATGTACCGCTTTGAAGTTGTAATGCACTCATCAAAACTTACTGTATGATGTATAATGCAAAGCAAACCGATTCTTGAATGATTTTTTTTTGTGATGATCTAACCATTGATCACCAAGATTAATCTTAACATGCTCTACAGTGTCTTTAATCTGGTTGTATAAAAGAATTATTAAAAGAGTGATTTTCCAACAGCATAGAGCATCTGGACATTTTTCGAAGAGACAGTTCGCTTCTAGTTGATTAATAAGTTTGACAACCAGTAGTTTACAAGAGATGCAACAATCTCATGAACTTTTCTATGACTAGATTTAATACCATTGAATTTCTTTTTATGAAAATCTATCAAAAATAAATATCTATAAAACGACTATTAAAGATCAAAATGTTTCAAATAGTCAAACTAATTAAAAAACAAATCATTGTATAATATTTTTCTAGTGTATGGATGTATGATTTGTAAAAAAAAAAAAAACTGAAGTTGATAGAGTTGAATCGAATAATAAAAATAGAGAAAAAATACTTTAGGTCACCGGGTTTTTTTTTTTTTTTTTTGAGTAATGACTTTTTCATTGTTTCTTTTTGGATACTTCTACACGATCTACATTTACCACTTTATTTCCAGGGATCAAACAGATTAATATATTGCCAAAGCAATTAGCGAATGTAGTGCATGTGTTCGTAGAAATGCTACATATTTATTCAAAAATACGATTCTTCTTCAGATCGACGACATCCCATATACTAATTATTCTTAGTGACAGAGCATATCAAAGAGTGTATGTGCTGCTGGTCTGAAGATTCAGACTAGTCTAACATCGCCGCTTGCACTTTATTAACACATAATAATATGAAATAAATGATGAAAAATTTTGGTGATCAAAAATTTTGTTCTTAAAGAATCTCATCTAATAGAGCTGAGCATATCAAATTCTAACACTCATAATGAATATCTCATTAACGTTTTTGAATTACTTCATACAAAAAAATTGGTAAAACAAAGTAAGTTTTTTGCATGATTATGACTAGATATTTGTTTATAATAATTAGATATGATATAGAGTATTTCCAAAGGTCAATGATAAAAACAAACGATCTATAACAATTTAATTTATTTATATGAGTTTGTCATAGTTATATTCAATGCTCATTAAAATTTTATTTAATATAATCTATATATAATAGTTCTTCAAAATAATGAACTTCGATTCTTTTGTGAAATCTTTAAAAATATATTGCATGAAATTTCTTTCGATATTATTGTTATTTTAAAAATATCTCTTAAATGTTTTGGTTTATTAATGATTCTATTAAAAACAAAAAATCATTTCATTTTAAGAAGAAATATTCGTTTTTATTATTACTATCGATTAATATTTTGTTAATAAAATTTTAACCAAATCTTCTTCAATATATTTTTGATTGAATAATTTTCATAAAAAATATTTTATTCTAATCTTGTTTGCTATTATTTGTAGTAAAGTACGTTTCATAGTTCATACTACTCAAATAGCATCATCATCTGGCTCTTAAATTAGATTCTAGAATTTCAATACTCTGTCTGAGCACTACGTCTGTGTCATCGAGGCGAAGCCAATGACCTTCTCATCATGATTCTACCTCATCAAGGCACATATTCATAAATATCATGAATTTGATTGGTTTCTTATCTTCAATTATTGTTTTAAAAACTTCATCGAGATAGAATAGGACGTATGTTCTTTTGAGATTTAGTGAGCAAAACAAAAAAAAATACAGAAATACGAATTTTAGAATATCTTGGAAATGCTTTTTTTTTCATTTTTGATTCTCAGAAAGAAATTTTCAAGTCATGATCTTTGATAAAATATCTTCTATTTCATTCTCAATCGTTTTTTAAAACGAACAAAACTCGTTCAAATGCAAATATTATCAATTAGCTACTTCATTTTATTCAAAAGAAAAAGAAGAATTTTTGCCACAATCATTGTATTAAACTACTTGTAAGAAAATCTATGAGAAACATTTACTATTTATATCTCTGTACAAAATGTACAATTTTTTTAAATACTTTTTATTGTTGTTTTTTAAAGAAAATTAAACAATAGTCGTAGACTGTATACAAGAGTAAATATAAATTTATAAAGTTTTTATTTACATATATATATACATACAATAATACACAGTACGAGAATATTTAAGTAATTAATTTTCATAATTATTATTTTTTATCACTTAATCATGGTAAAGATTCAGATGAAAATCGATTTCGTTGTGAATTATTACCATATAGATAATCAAATTCTGAACTTTCATAACGTATTGTTGGATTAACACGAAAATTAGGCATAAGATTCGTGTCTGATTGTATTTTAGGTAATGACTGGGTTTGTTGAGGTACTGATGGCGTAGGAATTGGAACAGCTATTGTGTTTACAAATCCAAAAAAAACTAAATAAACAATAACAAAAAGAAAAAAATTTGTGAAAAATTTTCATTCATTTACTTTTCTTTTTTGCATTATCTTCATCATTATCATCATCATCATATCTATTTCGACGTGGAGCTGTTGCTATAGCTTGTGCTCGTCTTTGTATTCCAGTTATATTATAACGTAAATCAACATCATTTATTGTAATACCATCATGGAAAAAAGCAATCGGTGAAAGTATACGTGATGAACCTGTTGTTGAATCACGACGGCCTAGAAGATACATATTTCATTAAAAGAAATAACATTTTACTTATGAAAATATTATTAACATACTATCATTACTCTGAAGAGATGAACGTTGAGATGATGAATTGTTATTAAACTATAATAATTAAATCGAAAAAAAAAAACCAAAGATAAATATTATGTTATCATTGATACTTACCATGAGTTGGTTGTTAGATTTGTAAAATAAAGTATAATGCACTGTTAGATGTTAAATATCGCATATATATATATATATATAAACACATACATATGATTAATTTAGTATTGAGAGAAATACATCTTCACTTCTTTTTCTTTTTTTTCTTGTTTGTTAATTTCAATGAACTGTCTATATTATATGCTTAGTTGAGCAACGAGAGAACACTTCAAAGCTTGTCGAACATGTTTCTGTGCGTGTCCGTAGATATTTGTAATCCTTTTTTCTTTTTTCTTTAGTTTTTATTGTTTTTCACATTTAAAATGTCATCGGAACGCAGATTTTTGAATAAGCAGAGAATGTAATTAATGAAAGATCTTTTCAAATTATCATTTATTTTTGAATTCTAGAATCCCTTAGTATTCGTAGAATTATTGATTAAATAAAATGACATATCTGTTACATTTAACATTGAATTTTAATTTTAGATTAATATAACTAAAAAATTTTATGTCAATATAATTATACATGATGACATTTAAGTGAAAAATATACCTGCTTATTATTAACCTTATGAACTTATATTTATTTTGTCGATTTACTAATAAAAATTAATTATATATATGCGATATTTAATAAAAATCAATGACAATGATATAAATAATTTTTTTCTTAAATTTAATAAAATGAATATGATTAACTAAGCTGGTTTTTATAGATCTTTATTTAAACATATGAATATAATCCATTAATATAAAACATGAATTTCAAATAGAACTTTATTATGAAATCAAAAAACAAAAAGGTGTTTTTAGAAAGTTAAAGAATAATAACTCCAGAGGAATAGTCAAAACATTCATTACATTTTAACAATTAATAAAGACTCGTTGTATAAATGAGTTATGTTCATATTAACTATAGGTCTTAGTTGATGATGACATTTTGTTTTTAAATTCACTTCGAATTAGTTTACTCAAATAGAAGAAAAAAAATTTCCCTGACAAATACATGGTTCATTTTCAATAGCAATTAAATTCTTCTTTTAATTTACTCGTATTATCTAATAGATACTTTTACCATTGACAACAAAGGTTAATCTGTTTTCATGCTTAGTCAATCTCAAAATTCTAAAAAGAAATTATCTGAACATATTATACATGCATGCATTATTTCGTAGGCGATTAGACATATATCTACGCATTCACTTTTAAAAAAGAGACAGTTGACAATATTACGCAGTTTTAAATAAGTTTAAAGAATGAACGCAATTGAGATTTTTCCTCAGAACAAGCATTATGATATCATATGACTATATCTTATTCTTGTGTTTGAGATCCTAATTTAGTTAAGCTCCAAACAACTTAATCTTTGTCTACCACTAACTAAGCTTGAATGTTTAGAACTAACATTCGTTCAGTAACGTCAAATTAATTATTGCTAATATACAAAAAAGAAATATTGAATCAGATCTGCTCAAAATCAATATAGTTATCATTTAGAAGTCTGATTAGAAGGATGTCGATGTATATTTAATGAAACATAATTTATGTTGAAAACTAAAATGAAAAATAAATAAAAGTACTTCAACCAAGAGCAAATCATGTTTTTTCTCTTGAAGTATAAATAGAAAATTCAAATTCAATCCGAGAATTTCGATTCGGCGCCAATGTATATTGATCGATCTAGAAATATTTGTTTTTCTAAGACGTAACACAAATTCATCGTATAAAATATTGAACTGTTGTTTCAATATTTATCTACGATAAAAAAAAGTCTTCATTTGATATAAAATTATTTTTTACTTGTCTTATAGTCTACAAGAAGTAAATTTTTATAAGATGCTATGAATAGATGTCATGAGAAATGAAAGCATTAATCATGCTTTTAAAGCATTCATTGTAAATTAGAAGAGAGCACATGTTGATTTCAAGGTCATACAATCGTAAACATCAGTAGGTACTGAAGATATAGCGTGTGTTTTATCACACATGCTTGGTTAAAATAATGAGACATGCGCTGAGGCCTTGATATATATATATATATTATATGAAATCGTTTCACGAGGGAAGTTTCCCAAGTGTGATTTTCTAACCGAACTGATATTTCGTTCATGAGTAGTCTCTGACGAGATTAGTAGAAGTCCATAAGGGTTCATTTTTAATGTTATTACTGTTTTACTAAAATTTTTATTTCTGGCAACATCTTTTTCAATCAATCGAATTAGAAAATTTCAGTCTGAAATTTTCCCCATAAGTAGATCTTATGGGCCTTAGAATGCACAGAGAATTTCAATTTCAAGGCATATCTTGTTTCTAAGATCTTGAATGTTGAAAACACTAAGCTTTCTTTCCTTAAAAAGTAATGTATGGTTCACTGGAAGTACATGCAGAATATTAAAGAAAAATGACCGAGAACAATTTTCAAGCTGTAAACAACTATAAATAAGTTTGAAGAAAGAATGAAAAAAAAAACTTGTAATAATTAATGAAATTTTTCTAAGACTTGACGGCTTACAAACAAACTGTTGGATGTAGGCGTGGATAATTTCATGCACATCCGAATACGAGGGCTGGCACCACCAACTTGATGCAAATATTTTCACTATGTCGTGATTGATTTTCTGTGTGGGGCGTGAATTTTCGCAACCACAGAGCGAATCAAAGAAATCTTGATTTAATGACATGATATAAAAAAAGATTGTTTGTCATTAGATAAATATTTTGTTGCCGTTATCCTATGAACTATGAAATTGTATTATCATTTCTATTATTACAATTCGTTTCTCTAACAAACTTTTAGTAATTTTTTTTTAATATTATCTCAATATCAAAACAAGAAAAAACAACGAATGGTCTGTCAAACCAGACCTATTTCTGTGTCTAGTAATCATTATATCTAAAAAATTAAATTCGCCTTCGAGCGACGTCTATCATTGATGACAACAACAGAATGCATATTATACTATTCGAAAAAGAATCAACAAGCTACTACTACTATTTTTCATCCGATTAATATATCAACTGTATGTTTTCTTTCATAGTTCATGACTACTACAACATATTTCGCAACCTAATATGCTTATACTTTGACTCAGTAACTTTTGCTTTTACATAGTGATTGTGAAATTCGACTTACGCAATTACTCTTATGCTTTATACTGTCCTTATAAAAATAAGCACATGGAACATAAACATGTTATTCGTTCTTACCTTGATAGGAGAACAAAACAATTTTATAGAATAGTTATCAATCTATATAATCATGGATGACAACGACAACAACAAAAATACAACAACAATTACAGATGAATTAAATTCTCTTCGTTCAATTTTACGTTCAGATGATCATCTTCAAATTCAACCATCAGGAGATTATGAACAAGTTCGAGTCAAACTCGATTATGATATACAAATAAGTTTTTTCTTTGATTCACTTAATACTTTAAATAAATCATTAACTATTAATAATGTACATGACTTAAGAATCATAAAATCATCAAATAAATGTCCATTAAATAATGATCAATGGACAAATATTCGTCAATATTTTGATGAACTTATTCAAAAATCGACTGAATCAATTTCACTTGAATCTATTATTCAATTAATTCAAGATCATTTACTAAAACTTACAATAGCAAATGAAAAATCGAAACAAAAAGATAAAAACTCAACAGAAAATATATCAACAATGTCAAATAAATTTCGTGGTGCTGATTTAATATTACATCGAATATTACATGATAAAACAATTGACCGATCACAAGTTATAATTGGTTATGAAGATCGTTTTACAGGCATACATGAAATTTCATTTAATGAATTTAAAAAAGTTGATAATCAGGAGGTAATATAATTACTACTGAATCAGACAACCACATATATCAACTCATCCTTTTTTTTTCTAGCATGGTATTCCAATGCATCGTGTGCGATATTTTAAAATTAGTGGACGTATTGTATGGGACAGAACGAAAAAATTAGATATATTAACGGGTAGTGATCAATTAAATGAAACATCTAATGGTATGAAAGAAAATTTTTTACATCAGATAGTACATTAGAGGATTAAAGTATATATAAATTTATGAAATAAGGAAGATTTTCTAACACTTAAAAAAATAAAAATCTATTCACAGTTCTTCTCTTTAATAAACAAAAATTTCATCATCTAATAGTAGCTTTTTAGAAATCCTGGAAAAAATTTCATTGTAGTCAATTGATTTTTGTTTGTTTGTAAGAGCACGAGAAGCTACAATATCTGACAGGATCCTTTATTTTTACAATAATCATTGCTATTATTATATAGAATGAAACTTGTATAAATATAAGACCATTTGTTAAGAGCACTTGTTGTCTTTTTTTTTCTTCACATAAAAAGCAGAATGAGAGTCAATTGAGAATTTTGTGTTGTCAATTGAGCTATTCGGATCCTTGTTTAATAAATATCGCCCGGAAACTTCATGACATAGGTTTGAAATTTTAATATGATTTGAATCTATCTGGCCTAAGACCGATTTTTGAGGAGATGAAGCTCAAAAAAGCATGAATCTTGATAAATATGTGGATTTGAAATGTTTACACTTCAAACTTACAGTAGTATATATGTTCGGTTTTCCATCATAGTTACATAACAACGGACCAATATTACATATATTTGTAAAAGAAATAGGACATTCGGCAGCATCTTTCTGCTTTAAATACAGTTCATATACTAATTACCACAATTAACACGCTCACATATCATGAAGTAAGGATGAGAGCTAATGATGTCGTAATTGTAAAGTGTGGTTACGTGACATAGACTATGAATGCCTTGAAATTCGAATATCACGACCTGTATACGCTGTGAGCAGTTCATATTTTAAATTAGTTAATTTGGCAGTGAGCGCATTTATTTGATCTAAATACGATTGATCTCTTAAACATACAGAAAACGACATGCCATTATCTGTATCAATTCCATTTTCTTGTTTCCTATTCATAGATAACGGACAGACATCTACTCTTGTGCAAGGACTCTATAATTTTGATCGATCACTTCAAAAATGGATTGAATGTCCACATATATCATTAACATCAGATGATTCAAAAATTTCATCAACAAATGAAACATGTCTTCCTGAACGATGTCATTTTGTAACATGGAATATTTTATTTGATTATTATCAACCAACACTTATTTATACTTCTCAACGATATATGTGGACATTCAATCCATTTTT